CCATGCTAACTCGATGGAGGTTGCTGGGCTATCTTCGTCACATCCCCGCCCAACTGTCTTCCCCCATTGCCCAGCCAACGGTGCCGCTGCTGTCTTGCCCCACATCGCCCCCGCGCCTGCCACCACCGCTGGACTAGTCTTCTCACCCAACAATCCTTCTAAGCTTTGTCGGCTTCATGTAAGCCCTGAACCACAAATCTGAACCCTAACCTTGCTAGAGTTGAGAGAGAAGACCATGTGGCATTCTTAGATTGGGTGAAAGGAGACTTTAAATGCCCTGTTTGCTTGAATTTATCAATCTAGCTTATCAGCCATGGTACAATGTTTTTCTATCACAACAAAACAGCATCAGCCGGCTTATCAGCCACGAAAACCATCAGCCGAATAGCTTGAAAATCCCTTGAAGTGCATGTCGAACATGCATTTTGGCCGTACATTCCTATATATGAACCTTCTCATGTGAGCATGCCGCTAAATTCAAACAAACATGGACCCAACTTCATACATGGCCACCAAGCCAAAATAGGGTGACGCAAAAAAAATGTTTCTGCAATAAAACAATGATTGCGCTCGAATCTGATAAGATATGGATATGAGTTCGAATCATTTGGAAACTACACTTGATAAGTTTTCCATAAAGTACTGGAACGTCCTAATCAGAATCTGTATGATGCCGTGGTGACCATCGCAAGTTGATATTGTTCTACAGGATGAATCCAACTTCCAAAACATGGATTTGAACTCTCTTTTAATTAGGCCTAAGAGACGTGGTGTCCTAGTGAAGGATATTAGGAAAACTTGAACTTGGACCCTAATTAACTTTATTGACTTTCCATACTTTTCATATGCAATCAAATATTCCTTCGATCTATGTAAGTAATTCTAAAAGAAAAATATACAAACTTTAAGGTGCAATGTCAATTCATAAATTCTTTATAATCTATATCTATATCTAATAATAAAGAGGCAAAATTTCCGGCCATTTTTTTCATCCATCCATTTTTTTGGTCCATGTCCCTCTAACTACTGGACAATGAAGAGTTTCTTCCGTCCGGACTTACATATATACAACCCGTGCTCATACGAGTTCGAATAGCTCTTGTCTAGCGCGATACGGAGTCTGATTCCAAAACGTATTGGGTTGTGTACGGTCTATTTTTTACAAAAGAGTCCATACTCCTACACAAACAAAAAGTCCATACCAAATACAATTACTATATATAGTAAATTTGTTTTTTTTTCTTTTCGTATTCCGTCATCTGTTCGACATTTTTCTGTTTTTAGACTATTTCGGATCAGTATCCAATACATTTTTCATTTTGTGTATTCGTTCCACTTCTTTTCTTGATTTCCTTTTTTTGTTTTCTCTTCTTCTTTTTCCTTTTTTTCTTTTCTGGACTATCAAGTCAGTTCATGTCCTTTCTCTTATTATTTTGCATGTCATCTTTATTTTCACGATTCTCTCATGATTTTTCTTATAAACATAAAAAAATAATAAACACAATATTATGGGTCTTTGGATCCTTCATCCTTCCCTAATCCTTAATAATCAAATATTCCTACTACTAAATTATTGATGTAATTTGATTAAGAATAAATATTATTCTTATGATAACCTAGATTAGATAATGTTCTAATTAATTAAACCATGAACAGAAATCTTGGGTAGTTTATGTCCAATCTAACCGGGAAGCGACAACGAGAGTTGCTCCTCCAGCATATGTGGTGCCGCGGGAGGCGGTGGCGGTCGGGCAGCGAGGCGGCCAAGACAACCTGTTGGAGTGGGGAGGCGAGCGGAGAAGGTGCACGGGTGGGGAGGAGGTGGCAGACGCTGGCGAGGTAGCTGCCGCCGACAGTAGTGACGGCGAAGCAGACGCGACCGCTACGGCGGAGCCCCAGCGAGCGAGGCAGGCTGCCTGCAGAGATTCCTCTTTCCCACTAAACTTTTCCGCTCTTTCATGGATAATTAAGTATGTTTATATATTTCTACTGATTTTGCACCACATAAGGAATTTGCTAATTTGGCTGGTATTATTCTAAATTGTACTTTTATAGATGGTCAATGTCCTAATCTAATTATTGCTTCATTGCCGATAGATTAAATGTAAAATATACATATTATTAGTAACTAAGTAGAGATACAAATTTTGATTTCCTCCCGTTGCAACGCACGTGTATAAATATAAACTTCGTATTGAATAGTTGGATCTTTAGTTTAGAAGCCGTTAGCATAGTCATATATAATGTAGCGATGTTCTAATTAAAAATTTATAAACGTATCTGACCTATTTTTTTTTGAAGGGGCACACCTATTTTTCTCATGCCTCATCCGGTGACTTCCATCGTCAAGCCGTCAACTGCCTCTAGCTGAAACGGTCAGCATTCACGATGGCTTCCAATCCAAGGGAAGAAGAGTCCCAAGCAAGCCAGGCTCAGTGGACCGGGTTCAGGCGCCGTCCACGCAGCCACGCCACGCGTCCCTCCATCCAACGACCCGTAGACGCACCACTGCCCCAGTCTTGGGCGGTGTTTGATCCCGCTACTAAAATTTAGGAGACATATCGGAAGAATATAGTATAGAGTGTTTGGATACTAATAAAAAAATAAATTACATAATCCGTCGGTACACCACGAGACGATTTTTTTAAGCCTAATTAATTCGTCATTAGCACATATTTACTGTAACAAAACATTGTCAAATCATGGACTAATTAGGCTCAAAAGATTTATCTCACAAATTAGTCGCAAACTATATAATTAGTTTCATAATTAGTTTATATTTAATACTCCATGCATGTGTCCAAACATCCGATGGGACAGCGACTAAAATTTAGGAGGGGCAACCAAATACTCCCTCGATGATGAAGTGTCAAATAGTAGGAAGTCCCGGTGGGTAATCACCAAATGTTCTAGGACGAGTACATTCAGGGGTGTTTGGTTCTTTAGTCGCTCCTAAAATTCATGTCACATCGAATGTTTAGATACTAATAAAGAGCATTAAATATAGATTAATTACAAAACCAATTACATAGATGGAGGCTAATTTGCGAGATAAATTTTTTAAACCTAATTAATCCGTCATTAGTACATGTTTATTGTAGCGCCACGTTGTCAAATCATGGACTAATTAGGCTTAAAAGATTTCTCGCAAATTAGTCACAAGTTGTGCAATTAGTTTTGTAATTAGTCTATATTTAATACTCCATGTATGTGTCCAAATATTCGATGTGACAAGAATTTTAGGAGCTCCTGTAGAAACCAAACAGTCCCTCAGTTCCTGGTGGTCATCTAGTATGGGACCTAAGAGAAGCCCTTTTTTAATCCTTTTATTAAGCCATTGCTAATCCCGTAATCTTTCAACGTCGTACAAAAGAGTTCAATACAAAAGCCCACAAAAGGCTTTGGACTATGAAAGGCTACCTTTATCATGCATGAATAAGGCCAAGAGATTATGTCCTCAACAAACCTATCTACTACATAAAGATCTCGGGGTCTGTCTGGAAATGGAAAATAGTTCTCTCTCTCTCAGTCTGTTCTCGCCACAATAACAAGAAAAACAAGTGAATAATTATAATAGAACGTAATCGTCAACCAAAATCGGGTAGGATGTATTATAAAAGAAATCGTCTATACAAGAAAAGAAGGATTTGTGTTTAGCAAGACATAATTTAATAAGTAAAAAAAAGTGTGTACCCTTTATCGAAAAGAAAATATGACAGATAGGGTCCGACATATTGCTTATTCCTGATTGATCTAGTTGATGACAGTTGACTTGTTGGACCGATTGTGGATTGGAATAGAAGTTTCTTATATACAGATATTTGTGTTTACTGATTTCGCATACCGGGAATGGAACTTGATGTAACTCATTGGAAACTCTCTTTGAGACTCATTATCTGTTATATACGACAGGCTGATTAAGTCCTTAAATTTAAGAAAGGAGTCTTTCCTTCCTTCCTTATACAAAACTGTTATGTTATTATGCTGCTCGTGCAATTAAAACTTAGAATAGAACAAAAAGAGTTCCCTCAGGACCCATCCTCTTCTCCTTCGCTTGTGTGACTATCATGAGAAGAATTCCATTCCAAGAAGTAAAATAACAAGAAAAAGAACGAGGTCAAGATCTGTTGAAATCAGTACCGACGAAATGTAGAAAGTGTCCTCCGAAAACACAATCTACTACATTAGTTGGTGTAGCCAAAAAGAGGATGTCCCTCTATTTTTCAGACCAGACCCATACCATGGATACAAACACTATTGAGTCGGAGGAGACCGGCTAGATCGCCTTCTGAGGCTCTCTGGGCTTATCGGAGCAGGTAGATGCACCCCACCCCGTACACGGGTACACCCACCCAATGACAGGCCGGGCCCACTTTGACTTCTTTACTGGTAACGGCAGCGGTGGACGTGGACGCGGCGCCGCCCCCGATGCGCCAGAACAAAGGCGGGACGAGTGTGTGTTGCCTCGGTCGGGTCGGAAGTCGGAACTGCAACGGAACCCGAGTCGTCGTCGTCGCCAGTCGTCATCCCCGAAAAGGAGAAACAAATACGCCAGCCGCATCCTGTATTCCTGTGGGCTGCCTGTTCTCGGCCCGCTGACCGGTGGGCCTCCACGGAAGCTGCCGTCACGGCCGATCCCCCGTGGGGCCCACGTGGTAGCGATCGCGGAGAACGAGGAGTGAACGGGTCCCGGTCGAGTGCCGGGCGATAAATCGCCACGCGCGAGCGGCGCCTCGCCTTTCTGACCTTTCACATCTCCTCTCCCCCTCCCTTGGCAGACCACCTCCGCGGCCCCGTCCCACCCACCGTGGTTTCCGCCCGGCTCCAGCCGCCACTCCCGCCCATTGGCTGCCGCCATGGACGCTGCAGGGTTCGTGCTCCTCGCCTCTTCCCCATCGAGCGAACAATCGTCGTTTTTTGTCCCCTCCTCTTTTTCGCCTTTTTTTTTTTTGGTTTCGTTCCGACGGGTTTCTTGATCTCGCTTCGTCAGGTACCCGCACATGCAGGGGAGCGGGTCCGCCGCCTCCCCGTCCTGCCGCGCCGCCGACTATTCCGCCGGGTGGGACTCCGCGCAGCAGCAGAAGCGCCAGCGCTGCCAGGTAATCCGTCCCGCGTCCTCCTAACCCCCGCCTTTTGCGCGGTGTAAATCCGCTCCGGTTGGTTTGGTTCCGGTCGTTACCATCGCGATTCTCGTGCAATCGGTTGCTCTGATCGTTTTATTCCTTCTGGGAGGGTCTTCGAGTGCATTGCGGCCGAGTATGGTGCGAGGGTTTTTGCCTAAAGCTCCTTTATTTGTGTCGCCGAAATTCGTACCTGGTGAGAGGTCCTTTGATTTTACCCTGCCTTTTTTTTGTTTATGGGGTAGGTTTCGGTCGAATTGATGATTTGTGCTGGTTGGGTGCCGTACGACGGAATTTACCCGGATCGATCGTATTGACCGTAGGGTTTTGGGTTTTGGGGGCAATTTCGTTCTATATTGGGGGTACAAAAAAAAGTATTCTTCTTCACGGTGTGTTGCTGGTGGGGATAGATGTTCTTCTTACTTTGGTGAAGCATCTGTTCCATTGTGTTGTATGCCGTCTGCACTTGTATGTTTTGAGGTTTGCTTGTGGTTTACCTTTGAATCAGTCCTCATTACTCAAAGTGCTACATGTTTTGTAAGGTATGATCATAGCCTAGGTCTAAAATTTGATTTCCATGTTGTTTTGTGTAAGTTTCTACAATCGGACCTGTTCGCCTGTACACGATTGATTTTTGTACTGGAAACTTTGTATCTTCAGTTTGTATTTTGGCACAGATACTTGATCTGGAACTAACCAGTGCACTAAAGATACCATACAAAATCCTCCATACACATGTAATTGTCCTTAATAAAGCCTGAATTGCATTCGAAATTCACATTGCTGGAGCAAAGCTGTTGAATCCTACCGCCACATTTATACACATTTGCATACCATCATCCAAATCCTACTCCTACATAAGGTCCCAAGTAGAGATGCTGTCACCAGAATCAACTTACTATGTTACATTATAGAAAAAGGATAAATATACAGAAGAATATCATATGCTATATTTACAGCAGCAGGAATCTGAAACTTAGCAAGTCTGAGATGGAGATTTTGGTATGGGTTATTTATGTTGTTAATACATGAAAGTTTCGAGCAGCTGATTGGTTGATTTTTAAATTGTTGCATAGCCAACATGTTTTGCTTCTTTATTACTTGGAAATTTGGCTATGATATGTTATAAACAGTGGGGTATGGTGGTATGACCATGTGAGGTGTTATTCTGCTGTTCAACGCAGGAGGCAGTTATTGTACTAGTACATATCTTCATTAAAAATCTTATATTCTTGAAGACCATTTTTAGCCCTTCTACTTAAAGTTCTCAACATAGTTGGTTTTAGAATCTGGTTGAAATTATTCTATATTTTTATGTAAAGAGTTACAAGGGACAAAAAGATAACTTTTCCTAGAAGTCATATTACTGCTGATATTAGCCTGGTAACGTTGGCTTTCAGAATACATGGTATTAAGGTTATATGCTAGGAGAAAAATATTGGCTTCAACCTAAACATTATAGGTTCGCAGTGAGAGCAAATAGGAAGGTTCAGTTTACCATGTGTAAATGGCACTTTCAGCATGCATGGTGTATGTTCTAAGATTAAATAATGTTGGTGCAAGATTTTACTAGATTCATATAATAATTTCAAGATGTAAATTGTTGGCGTGTGTTAAGAGGTACTAATATATTAAAATTTGCATGTGGATTTGCATCATGGTAAAAAAAAAATATCTTTCAACATACATAACTTTGCTAATTAATAGATTAGTATGTTCTTAATGTTTGGAAGACTGCTGATGCTTAGTGTAGTAAAAGGCTAGTTGCCACTTACTCATATAATGGTACTGGCACACTGAATATATTTTGTGTTATGCGTCATAATCAGCAAATTTAAGGGATAACAGAGACTGCTAAATGTAAGAGAGAAGTAATTGCTTTGATATGTTTGATGGTTGCTTGAATGTTTAACCAACTAGATGGCATGCTACCCACCTGGTTCAGTCTTGGAGGATAGAAAGCAAATCCTGTTATTAATCCAGTACTTAAGTCAGGGAACAGTACAGCACTACTGCCAACAAGTTTATACATGAAATTATCAGAGAAGTGCTGATTTCTAGGACATTTCTTAACTTTAAAAGAAAACATGTATTTTTTAGTGAAATAATTTATTATTAGGTTCACAGGTTGTCATGTAGTCCTGTCCGCAGTCCTGGAACATCTGCATCTCCTTATTTCTTGGGAAGTTCTGAATGTGCGTGCAATTAACATATCTGGTCTCAGGCCCTGTTGGGGTGTTCTCCTTAATCAGGATTCTATAGGCAGCTGCTGAGAGAGGTGCTTTAGCTATTTGTGTTTTATAGAGAGTCAGAAGGCCAGCCTGCTGGCCCTCCTTATTAGTTATTAGTTATAGACATTGCTGTAAATAGCCCATTATAGCATTGCTATAGTTTTTTCAAGGGTCTCAAGGGTCTCGATATGACATTGCCAATTGTTATTTTATTGCTGCTAATGATGTTTTAGCTTCGCTAAACATCACTTAATCACATAACGCTATAACAATATGATTATATGTGATACAATTCCATCTCTAATTTTATCTCTATTATAATTACTCCCTCCGTCCCTGAATATAAGGCGCGATTTGACTTGGTGCGGTCTTCAAGAGCGTACTTTGACCTATAATTTCTCTTATAATATACAATATACATGCACAAAAGTTTGATCATTAGAAAGTATTTCCAAATACAAATCTAATGTAACTACTTTTGTAATACAAACTTTTGATATAATTAGACTAATTGTTAGTCAAAGATAACAAAGTTTGAATTTTGAAATATGTGCGTGCCTTATATTCGAGGACGGAGGAAGTAAATAAGATACAATACAATGCTATCTCTTACCTAGAGTTTGCTTAATGGACCCTTAATCACAGTTTCTAAATTTAAAGGAAACAAAATAATCAGTGATATAATCCCAACTAACAAAATCCTTCTATCCCCATGTGAAACCGTGAACAGTACCCACCATGCATAGTAACTGTCATTATGGCTGTTGCATAGGTTTATTGGTTTAGGTGTATTTTCTGTGAATATCTTATGCAGCTTTTTTTATGAGAGCACTATGGTGTGTTCTTTCTTATCCTGCTACTGTGTTGGGGTTATGCCCTGATAAGTGTAGGCCATGTAACCATGGAACCTTTTTTTTAAAATGTCTGCATTGGATATTTGGAGTTGACAAGGCAATTAGGCTTTTGCAGTTCAACTTGTTTGTTGGCAAACATATAGCAAAGTGCGTGTTCTGTTGTGAGAAGTACTTGACATTTTATTGACAATATTGCACACAGGGTTCTTCTTCTAATGATCAAGTTGGATCTAGCACAGAGAATAAGTCTCTTGAAGCACCTGGATCTGAGCTAAAATTTGACTATGGAAAAAATGAGGAAGAAGATTACTATTTTGAAGATGAAGATGATGGGTGCTATGATGAGGATGATGAGGGATCTGACTATGAGCTTGAGACTGCTGACTATAATCAACTGCTAGCTGATAAATTTGATCATTTAGACCTGCCTCCAGGTGTGGAGGCTACAGTACCATGGTTGCAGAAAGTTGAAAGGGATGAGCCTGGAAAATTCAAGTCAATGTCAGAAATAGAGGAAGAAATCGCAAAGAAGTATAATTTTTTCAAACAGTTTGATACCGTTGAGGATTTCATAGATCATAAATATGCTAAAAATTATGTCGGAAATGTAAGACCTTGGCACATATTACTTTTTTTTTTTTAAATTTGAAATCTTTTTCATCAATAAATCTCCTAACTGTTTCAGGCAAGGAAAGAATGGGCAAAAAGAATCCAGCATGAATGGAGTCTCCTGGAGAAAGATTTACCAGGTCAGCAATTTGCTAGAGCAATTGTGTCACCCTTGTTGTAGCAATGCATCTACCTATTCATTGACTATTCAGAATTTAAGCTCCATACTTCCAACTCCTGAAACTCAGTATTTCACTTTAACAAAAAAAAAAAAACTGCAGATTAAGTTCAAAATATAGTATTCCATCTGAATAATCTCTCTGAATTCATAACCTGAATTTTGTTCTGTTGTGCAGCATTAATATATGTTCGTGCCTCGGAAAATCGAATGGACCTTCTCAGGGCTGTAATGATTGGGCCTCAAGGAACTCCCTACCATGATGGCCTTTTCTTCTTTGATGCCCACTTTCCCCCTTCTTATCCTGCTATTCCCCCAGTTAGTATTCAATTTTTGTCCATTTGGTATGTAATACACTTCCGTATTTGGATAAAAAAATTGTGCTGATGCTTTTGCAGGTGGTACATTATCATGCAGGTGGGCTAAGGCTTAATCCAAATCTATATGCTTGTGGAAAAGTCTGTCTTAGCCTCCTAGGCACCTGGCAGGGTCAATCTTGTGAGAAATGGAACCCAGCACAATCAACAATGCTTCAGGTGCTAATCTCCATTCAAGCTCTTGTATTGAATGAGAAGCCATTCTATAATGAGCCTGGATATGAACGCAATGCCAATAGTGCTGAGGGACTGGCAAATGCCTTGGACTACAATGATACAGCATTTCAGTACTCATGCAGGACGATGTTATACTCACTTCGTAAACCTCCACAGGTAATCTTTTGCTAATTCTTAAGCTCTTGAACTAAAATTGAGTAGTTAATAGTATATATATTTGATAGTCATCTATTGATAGCTGTGCTGATGTTGTACTATCTATCATTGTGCTTTTGTAAAATAGAAATGTGGATGCAGTCCAAGCAGGATTCCAATATCTGTGGTTAAGTTACTTTTCACTTGTCGACATTTTTTACTGATTTAGACACCCAAATTTGAGCTGAAATGTGATACTCGTATCTCTGTCCATGTAATATCAGGTACTAGGCTAGACAATTGTTTTCAGTTGATGCAGTGATGTGCTTTTTCATTCTTTCAGTTATCAGCACAGTGTTCTCTTTCTTAGCACCTATGCTCATGTCCAGTATTTTTGATAAATAAGGCACCCAAGTTCAAGTTAGATATTCTTACACCTTTGTCATCCAAATTAGCATTGGATAGCAGGCTAACAATTGTTTTTGGTTGGTGTTAATATGCATTTTCATTCTCAGTTATCAGTACATTGCTCTTTTTTGAGCAACTGATGCGGGACAAAGAATCTTAGGTTTCATAGATCTAATGGTATTTGTGCCTGTTGATATGTTGTTTCAGCACTTTGAAGACCTTGTCGCGGGCCACTTCCGTGAACGCGGGCATGCCATTTTGGCTGCATGCAAATACTACATGGAGGGCCATGAAGTTGGATCCAAAGTCCCGGAGGAGGACGAGGACACCAAAGGGTGTCAAAACGGGGAAGGATCCAGCAGTAGCACCACGGCAAAGCCGCAGCAAAATAAGCCTGCATTGCGCACCAATCGCAATGCATCCTTCAAAACCAACCTGGAGGTTCTGTTTGAGGAGCTCTTGATGGAGTTCAATGTGAAGGGTGCCAACACTGCAAGATTCCGTGCGGAGAAATTGAAGAACAAGCTGGCGGCTGCTTGAACTGAACTGGCAGTGGAATTCTGTTAACTTTTGAGGTTTCCATAATGGATTGGGAAACCTAGGGGGATGTTTTTTCGCTTTTGGCTGACCATAGGAATGCAATGTAGATAGCTCTCTTTTCTTTCAGTTAGTGGTACATGTCCTGTGTGAAGTTAAACCGAGAACAGTGGACGGTCTTAGATCCTAGTAATTGAAGCATCCACCCCAAATTGTGGTGTGATCTGAAGTTGGCATCTATATAAATCGTCTTCCGTTATTTGCCTTTGAAAGGGATCCATGGCACCAGGTTTCATAATCAACCAGCCATGGAAGCTGTGGCATGGAGCAGTGGTTTGTTGATTCTGGCTACTTTTTACTGGTAGAAGTTACCTAGTGCAGGCGCATAGCGTGCATTTGTTGTGTAAAAATCTACGCGCCCTTCGAATTTTCTCATTCTCCGTCTCTGAGCGTAGGGTGCATTTGTGCTATATTTTTTTTTGTTTTTTGTTTTTTTGGTGTAGAGCAACCAAATGTTCGGTGCTTTGTCCTTAGGATTTGACATGGGTAAGCCTCGATTGACACTGATTGTCCGTCTGCTCAAATAGACAAAGTGGTAACCAAAATTACAAGATGTCTTTTCAATAATAATAATTTGCGCTCCATCGTTTCCTCGAAACGTTGAAAAAAAGTAAAACTACTAATTGCCAATGGGTGGGTTTCGACATTAATTAAGATGCCATGTAGATAAATGCTCACATGGCATTGAAGTTAACGAGGAGAGATATAAGGAAATAGATTCTTAGAGCATTTGTACTGGGGTTCTCCAATTACACCCCCACTATTGGAGGAGTTGAGATAATTTCCTTGTCCTAACATTCTTTCAATAGTCGTCATTTTCTTTAGTGGCCACTAAAAATACCTAATCTCCCTCAAATTGTTGAATAGGGAATGAAATGAACAAGATTTGGAAACAACCACCGATTTCATTGATCTCTTAGATATATATACAAGTGAAGGGTCACGTCGTATGGACGTGACTGTTCGGGAAAGTTAACTGCTAATCTAATCTCTAATCCTAACTGCTTGCTTGTACGGATGAGATCATCTGTTGAATATGTGTCTGTTGGTAGACAGGCACCGTTTCGTAACACTCTCCTTTGATCGAATCTTCTTTGAGATCAATGTAGCTGTATGTTTGAATTCCTCGAAAAACCTTGTGGAAAAAATCTGAGGAATATGTATGTATAGATATGCTATAAAAACTCCTTTAAATCTTATAGAAAAATAAGGAGAAAATAACATATATGAGTGTGATTTAAATAAATCACTACGTCATTGGTATCCCATTAAAAACCCTAGTGGGGAAAAATATTGGAGATACGACATATAGATTACTTCCCCAAAAACTTTTTCAGGAAAAATATGAGAAGCAATATAAAGTGATATGTCGCTAAAACTCCTGTAAAAACCCAGTGGAAAAATTAGGAGAAAATATGATGGCATATTATTAGTATTGCCTTTTGGATAACTCACATGAAAAACTTTTTCATGGAAAAACCATGTATGAGTTATGAGGGCAATATATATCTTTGATATTTCCCATAAAAAACCCCGGTGGAGAAAATAGGAAATATGACACATGCTTATGTTAATATTACCTCATTAAAAACTTTAACAAGAAACCTTATAAGTAAAAAAACTTGTGAAAGAAAAGAGTATAATATGTTGCCGGTACAGGTCAATATTTAGGAGATGTCTACCCCTAATTCTAGCAATCTCGAAGTCGCCGCATACCAATTCTATGTACTAATTTTTGAAACACAGAAGTTGGTAAGGACTTAGTAAATAGGTCAGCGAGATTATCACATGACTTGATTTGCAAGATGTTTATTTCCCCATTTTCTTATAATTCATGGGGATAAAACAGTTTAGGAACAATATGCTTAGTGATATTGCTCTTTATGTAACCTGATTGCATCTGTATAACACAAGCGGAATTATCTTCATAGATAATTGTAGGTGATTCGATTGAACCAATACCACATGACTGTTGTATGTGGTTAATCATTCTGCGAAGCCATACACATTCTCGTGATGCTTCGTATAGAGTAATAATTTCAGAATGATTAGTAGAGGTCCCTGTCAGAGTCTGCTTAGAAGACTTCCATAAAATAGCTGTACCTCCATGTAGGAATACAAATCCTGTTTGGGATTTTCCGTTATGAGGATCAGATAAGTAACCAGCATCAGTATAACCAATCATACTGGGATCATGATTTTTCTTGAAGAATAAACCAAGATCCATTGTGCCATTAAAATATCTGAGGATACACTTCGCTCCCATCCAATGACGGCAAGTTGGGTCCGCACTATGCCTAGCTAGTAAGTTCATTGCAAATGCGATATTAGGCCTGGTGCAATTTGCAAGATACATAAGTGCGCCAATGACACTGAGATATGGGATCTCTGGTCCCAACATCTTTTCTCCAATATCCCGTGGTCTAAATGGATCTTTCCCTATTTCTAAGGAACGAACAATCATCGGAGTTTTATTAGGGTATGATTTATCCATATTGAATTTCTCTAATATCTTCTGGATATAGGCCGATTGATGCACTAAAATCTTTGAAGGACGGTGCTCAAGTTGTAAGCCAAGACAATACTTGGTCTTACCCAAATCATTCATCTCGAATTCCCTCTTTAGATGTCTACGTGCTTCATCTATATCATTTGGGCTGCCAATGATATTTAAATCATCAACATATACGGATATAATACAAAATTCTGTTTGAGATTTCTTAATGAAAACACATGGGCAATCATCATTGTTAGAGTATCCTTTCTGTAGAAGAATTCCCTCAGTCGGTTGTACCACATTCGTCCCGACTGCTTCAAGCCATATAATGACTTTTATAGTTTTACACAATACATGTTGCGATTTGCGTTTGGATTTGAAATTTGGATTCCATCGGGAACCTTCATGTATATGTCTGAATCAAGTGACCCATATAGATATGCTGTCACCACATCCATCAACTACATAGATAGATGATTTTGAACTGCCAATGATATTAAGTATCGGAAAGTAATTCCACTCATTACTGGAGAATAGGTTTCATTGTAATCAATGCCGGGTCTCTGCGTGAACTCTTGTGCTACTAGCCTCGCTTTATATCTCACCATCTCATTGTTCTCATTCCGTTTTCGGACGAAAACCCATTTAAAGCCTACAGGAAAGACTTTGGAAGGTGTAGGTATTGCAGATGTGAATACCCCTCTTCTAGTGAGCGAGGCTATCTTAGCTTGAATTGCTTCTTTCCATTGAGCCCAGTCCGAGCGCTTTTTGCACACTGCCATGGTCTTGGGATCTGGATCATTGAGAAAGATTTCTGCAATTGTTGCGGAGAAGTACATGTCGACAACAGTAGTCTTACGATCGTATGATTCTCCAGAATCTATGTAATTGATGGAAATTTCTTTCACCCCATTATTTAACTCAACATTTCCCAAAACTATAGAGTCAGGGTGTTTCGATATCCCAGGATCAGAATTTGGATGCACCGTTGATCTGGGTTGTGGATTTGGTCCTGATGTTGGATTTTTATCCACTATTGGGTGTCTACCAACTTGAGGTTGGCTTAGATTTACTGATTTGGAGGATTTAGCCCTCGGTCTCCTCGGACGCTTACTTGTAGCATTATCCTTAGGAGCGGCCGTACTTCTCCCTCTCTTCTTTGGAAGTGAGAGTTGAATGGTTTTTATTGGTACCTCCACTCTTTCGGGCGCAATGCGAGCAGGATAAGAGGATTTAGTGACACCCTTATAATCAGTAAATGCTTCTGCCAGGTTATTTGCAATATGTTGCAAGTTTATGATTTTCTGAACTTGTTGTTCAGTCTCTAGAGGACGTGGATCTGAGGGGGGAATGCCTTGGGCATTCCAGATAATTTCCTGGCATTCGTTTTGGTACTTGAAGTCTCCCCCTAATGCCGGAAATGGTCCTCATTAAATATACAGTCAGCGTATCGGGCCATGAATAAGTCCCCTGTAAGAGGCTCGAGGCATTTGATAATTGATGGAGATTGATATCCCACATAGATACCAAGTTTCCTATGTGGACCCATAGAAGTACGCTTAGGCAGTGAGATCGGTACGTATACAGCGCAACTGAATTTTCGCAGATGGGAAATATTTGGCATATTCCCACGTACTAATTGCAATGGGGAGACTACATGATATGCAGTTGGTCGTAATTGAATTAAGTCTGCAGCGTGTAAGACTGCATGACCCCAACATAAAGTTGGTAGATTGCAATTTTGTAATAACGGTCTTCCAATGAGTTTAATTCTCTTAATAAGAGATTCTGCTAAACCATTTTGTGTATGGACATATGGGACAGAGTGCTGAACTTGAATTCCCAAAGCCATACAATAACCATTGAAAGCCTTTGAGGAAAATTCAGCAGCATTGTCCATTCGAATTGATTGAATTTGATGTTCAGGATGATGTGCTCTAAGTCTAATAACTTGAGCAATAATTTTTGCAAATGCATGGTTATGTGTGGACAAAAGACACACATGAGACCATCGAGTAGATGCATCTATTAGAACCATGAAGTACCTGAACGGTCCAGACATTGGTTGTATAGGGCCACAAATATCTCCTTGAATGCGTTCAAGAAATTTTAGTGGCTCATTTTGGATCTTAACGGGCGATGGCCGTACAATCAATTTCCCTGTAGCGCATGAAGTGCACATAAAATCTGAAGATTTTGGGAATTTAGCAGTATTTAACTCATGACCATTAGAATTGCTGATAATTTTTCGCATCATCCCTATACCAGGATGACCAAGGCGTTCATGCCAAATTTTGAATGCGTCAACATTCTGAAAAATTACCTTATACGCAACATGCGGTACAGGTTTGATGTATGTGTAGTACAATCCGGATGGAAAAGAGGGAATTTTCTCAATAATTCGTTTGCCATATCCGCTATTTTTAGTAACGAGGAGAATTTCCTC